TGTTCCCATCCCCATAATTCCCCAATAAAAATCTTTAAAAAAAAAAAAAAAAGGAAAGCCAGAAACTGGGAGAAAAAAATTAAAAAAAAAAAAGAAAATAAATCTAAATATATCACTAGTCACAATATATTTAAATGGATTAAATTACCAAGTAATTTTTCATTATTTTGGAGTGATGGCTTCAGCCTATCATTTTTATTTCTTTTAAATCAGCTTTACTGAGGCATAAATTACATGCAGCAAATTAATCAATTTTATAGTATACAATTTGATGAATTGCAAATGTTTACTCTTGTGTACCCACCAAAATCACAAAATAGAATATGATTATCACCCCTAAAATTTCCTTTATGCCCTTTTCAGTTCAATCCTCTCCTTCCACCCTATCCACCCCCTGGTAATTACTGATCTGCTTATAGTAACTATAGTTTGATTTTTCTACAATTTTACATAAATGAAATCATACAGCATGAACTGCTTTTTTTGTTGTCTGCTTCTTTCACTTAGCATGATGCTTTCTGAGATTCATCAATGTCGTTGCATATATCAGTGGTCCATCTCTTTTTTTATTGGTGAGAGGTATCCCATTTTAAAAAAAAATCCATGTTCAAGTTGATGGATATTTGGATTTTTCCAGTTTTTAGCTATTATGAGTAAAGTTGCAATGAACATTATAAAAAGTCTTTATGTGGACATGTGTTTTCATTTCCAGTGGGCTAACACCTAGGAATGACATTGCTGGGTGGCATGGTAAATTTATGTTCTACTTACAATAAACTGCCAAACTATTTCCCAAAGTGATTGTACCATTCTGAATTTTACCAGTGATGTCTGAGGGTTCCAACTGTTCCACATTCTCACCAACACTTGGTGTACACTTCGCTATAAAGTGATTGGCTTCTGGTCCCCTTCCTTCATCTTGAAAGCTATCGATGGTGAGTCGAATGTCGAATCCTTATTACACCACATCTCTCTAATTCATCTTGCATCATTACATCTCTCTGACCACAACAGAGAAAGGTTCTCCATATTTAAAGATTCATGTGATTACATTGAGCCCAGAAAATCCAGAAAATCCAGGATAGTCTCCCCATTTTAACATCTGTACCCTTAATTGCACTTGCAATGAAACTTTTGCTATATGAGGTAACTTATTCTCAGATTCCATGGATTAGAGCATGGTCATTTTGGGGGGGCATTCATCTGCTTACCATAGTGAGCTCAGTACTTTTAATTTCAGCCATTCTACTGGGCATGTCATTAATGGTATCTCATTGTAGTATTAATTGGCTTTTCCCTAGTGACTAATGATGTTGAACACATTTTTCTTTGTTTAATTGCCATTTTTATATTTTCTTTCATGAAATATTCAAATTGTTTCCTATTTTTTATTGGCTGATTATCTTCTTATTAATGAGTGGTTAAGTGTTCTCTTTATATATCCTGAATATAAGCCCAGAACAAATATATGTTTGAGAAATATTTTTCACAGTCTGTGGCTTCCCTTTGAACTTTTTTTAACACTTCCTCTTGAAAAGCAAAAGTTTTTAATTTTGATGAAGTCCAGTTTTTCAAGTATTTCTTGTATGGTTTTGCTTATTATATCCTAACGAAGAAGTCTTAGCCTAACCCAAAGTTATAAATGTTTTGCTCTGTATTTTCTTCTAAAAATTTTAGTTTTGGGCCTACATTTAGATCTGTGACCCATTTCAAGTTAAGTTTTGTATAAGGTGTAAGGTAAAGGCTGAGTTTCATTTTCTTGCATATGGGTGTCCAATTGTTCTAGCACTATTTGTTGAAAAGACTACTTTTCCCATTGAATTACTTTGGTACTTTTGGTCTTAAGTTAATCGACCATATATATGTGGGTCTATTTTGGGAGTCCCTATTTATTTCATTGATATCTATCCTTTGTCAATACCACACTGTGTTATGTGCTATATTTTATCATAAGTCTTTAATTCCTCCAACTTGTTTCTTCTTTTAAAATTGTTATGGCTGGGCTGGCCAAGTGGCGAGTTGGTTAGGAGTTGGCTTGGCATGCCAGCTCTGAGCAGCAGGGCCCCAGTTCAGATCCCACATGAGGGCCAGTGACGTTGCGCCCTATACAGCTAAGATGGTGAACAAAAGCTCAACCTGGAGCTGGGCTGCCGTGAGTCGCAGCGTAGGCTGCAGTGGGGCTCGCCGGCGGCAGCAGGCGTGAGCTTTTGTGAGCTGCTGTGAGCCTCCGAGAACGGCCACCCAATGGCCGGTGAGCGACTACCTCACCCGGGAAGAGCTCAATGATAATATCCAGTGAAGCGATGTCCTCCACAACCAGACTGAAGAGCAAACGGACAGCAACTTGTCTGTTCCCCTTCCCCGATTCCCCAATGCTGTTTCCCTCCCCCAATTCCCCAATAAAACCTTAAAAAATAAAAATAATAAAATAAATAAAATAAAATTGTTATGGCTACTCTAGGTCCATGTAAATGTTCAAATCAGCTCACAAATTTCTAAAAAAAAAAAGCCTTCACAGACTTTATTGGAATTGCCTTGAATTCATAGCTAAATTTGGAGAGAATTGACATCTTAACAATATTGATCCAGGAACATAGTACATCTTTCTGTTATCTGGGTCATATTTATTTTCTCTTGGCAATGTTTTATAGTTTTTGGTGCATTGCTCTTGAAGATATTTTGTTAAATCGCCTGCCTAAATACTTCATACTTTTTTTTTTTAAAGATTTTTATTGGGGAATTGGGGGGATGGGAACAGTGCTGGGGAATTAGGGGAAGGGGAACAGACAAGTTGCTGTCCTTTTGTTCTTCAGTCTAGTTGTGGAGGACATTGCTTCACTGGCCCAAGTTGGCACCATCATTGCGCTCTTCCCGGGCGAGGCAGATCAGTCGCCGGCTTCTGGACGGCTGCTCACTGTGGCTGCTGGCCGCTCACGCTGGCTGCTGGCCGCTCACGCTGGCTGCTGGCCACACACGGTAGCCCATGGTAGCCCATGGCAACCCACTGCCACAGGGGCTGCAGCCCACACCATCGCCGGCGACCCACGGCAGCCCAGCTCCAGGTTGAGCTGTTGTTCAGCATCTTAACTGTAGAGGGCAGTGTCACTGGCCCTCATATGTGGGATCCGAACCGGGGCCCTCTGGCATCCCAAGCGAGCTCTTAACCATCGCGCCAGTCGGCAGGCCCAATACTTCATACTTTTTGATGTCAGTATAAATATTGCTGTTTTTTAATGTCAATTTCCAACTGCTAGTTCTTACATTTTGTATGTCTGCTTTTTAATGCTGATACTTTGCTAAAGTTGTTATTTCTTTTCTTTTTTTAAAAGTAATTAGTTTCAGGTGTACAAAACAATGCACTAGTTATACATTTCACCCCACAAAGTGACAACCCCTTTCCCCCAATCCACCCCCCCCCGACATCATACATATCTGTTATAATTCCATTGACTCCACTCCCCACACTATACTCCAAAGTTATTATTTGTAGCATTTTTTTGTCGATTCTTCAGGTTTTTCTTCATAGATGATTATATTATCTCTATGTATTTTATTTCTTTTCGTTGCTTAGTTTCTTTGGCTACGTACTCCAATGAAATATTGAATAAAGTAGTAAGAGTGAACATTCTTGTCTTGTTCCCAAACTTAGGGGTAAATCATGCAGTCTTTCACCATTAAAGGTGATACCAATTCTAAGTTTTCTTACATGCCATTTGTCAGGTTGCTAAAGTTTGTGTAGAGTGAGTACTATTTATTTCTTGAAATGTTGTAGAATTCATTAGTGAAGCCATGTGGAACTGGAGTTTTCTTTGTGAGAAGGTAACTACAATTTTGTTTAAAAACAAATATTGAACTGTTCTGGTTATCTTTGTTTGTTTGTTTGTCTTTTAACCTTTGGTAAATGGTGCATTCCAAAGAATTTACCTATTTCATTTAAGTCATCTAATATATTGGCATAAAATTGTTTATAATATTTCCTCATTATCCCATTAATGCTGCTGGATCTGTAGTGATAGCTTTTCTTTCATTCATGACATTGGTAATTTGTCTTTTCATCCCAGTCCCATTAGTTTGGCTAACTGCTTACCAGTTTATTGATCTTTTCAAATAACCAGATTTTGGCTTCATTGATTTCTTTGTTACAAAATTTCCTTTTCATATCTATTTCATTGATGTCTGCTGTTACTTTTATTGTTTCTTTCTGTTTACTTTGGGTTAAATTTGCTCCTGCTTTTGCTATCTTAAGGTGGACACTTAGTTAACTGATTTGAGACCTTTCTTTCCTAATATATGCATTTAATGCTACAAATTTCCCTCTAAGCACTGCTTTGGCTAGATCCCATAAATTTTATGATGCTATGTTTTTATTTTAATTCAGTTAAAAATATTTTTTCTTTGACAATGGGTTATTTAAAAGTATGTTCTCAAAATTTTGAATATTTGTTAATATTCCAAATATATTTTTGTTACTGATTTCTAGTGTGAAAATGTATTGTGTTCAGATAAGGTACTTTGTATGATTCAAGTCCTTCCAAATTTATTGAGACTTGTGTTATGGCCCAGAATATTGTTTATCTTGGTGAAGGATCTGTGTGCCTTTTAAAAGAATGTGTAATCCTGCTGTTGTTGGGTAGATCTAAGTGATCAATTAATCATTTATAAATGATCAATTAAATCAAGTTGGTCAATAGCATTGTCAAGTATTCCAGATAATTACTGATTTTCTGTTTGTTCAAACAATTACTGAGAAAGGAGTGTTGAAATCTCCAACTGTAATTGTGTATTTATCCATTTTGAAGCTTTGTTAATAGGTACATTCACATTTAATTTTGTTACATCCTCATTGATGAATTGACTTGTTTACCATTTTGAAATGTCTCTCTTTATCTCATTGTATAATCTCTGATAATATTTCTTTCTCTGAAATCTACTCTGTTTGATAAACACATAGCCACTTTAGTTTACTCTTGATTACTGTTTGCATGGAATATCTTTTTCATCCATTTACTTTTAGTCTATTTGAGTCTTTACCCAAATAAAGTAGTTTTTTTTTTATAGACAGCATATGGTTGGGTCTTGCTTTGATTTCCCCCAATATGACAATCTCTGCCTTTTAACTGCAGTGTTTAGACCATATGTATTTAATGTATTTAATCATGTCATTAGATTTAACTCTATCACCTTACTATCTCTTTTCTGTTTGTTTGATCTTTTCTGTTTCTTTTTTCTGTTTATCTGCCTTCTTGTGGATTAAATATTTTTAATGACTACATCTTACCTCCACTGTTGGTTTATTATGTATGCCTCTTGTTTTTTTTAGTTGTTGATCTAGGGTTTATGATATACATCATTAGCGTATAACTGTAACTTCAAATAATATTAAATCACTTCACATACAATTTAGGAACTTTACAACAGTACACTTACATTTCCACTTTCCATCCTTCATGCTATTGTTGTCCTAAATTGTCCTACATGTTATAAAACACACAATAAATTGTTAATAATTGTACATTAGTCAATTAATCAATTGAAGAAATTTAAAACATGAGAAATAATCCCTTTTATAGTTACCTGTTTATTTATCATTATGGCCCAATTTATTCCTTTGTATATTCAAATTGCCATCTGGTATCATGTTCTTTCTGCCTGAAGAAGTTCCTTTAATACTTCTGTAGTGCAAGTGTTCCTGGCAATGAATTCTGTCAGCTTTTGTTTGTCTCAAATGAGAATGAATGTAATGAAAAATGAGAGTCATAAAAGTAAATCCAAATATTTTACTAATTGCAATACACTTTAATATATTTTATCACCAGTTACAATATACAGGCTCATACTGGATTTTTAAAAAACCTGTTCTATGTTGTTTACAAGAAATATACCTAAAACATAATGACACAGAAATGTTCACAGTAAAGGCAAATACTAATTAAATTGCTAAAACTATATTAAAAACAGATAAGATATACTTCAAGGCAAAAAGCACTGTTAGGAATAAAGAGGATTGATACATACTGATCAAAGAAAAATTCAACAAAAGACATAACAATTCTGAAATTTTAAGTACCTAATAATTTAGCCTAAAATTATATAAATACAAATGGACAGAACTATAAAGAGACATTCACAAACCTAAAATTTTGGTAGGAGATTTTAATACCCTTGCTTTAGTCATTGATAGATGAAATAGGTTAAAATATAAAATAAAATAAAATAAAATGATATAGGGATCTGAATAGTATAATGACAAAGGTGATATCCTGGAGCTAACTATATCTGTATCTATATATCTATATCTATACCTATATCTATATCTATATCTATCTATATCTTTCTATATAGAGTGAGAACCTCACATCCAACAATCAGAAAATACACTTTCTTTCATTCACACATGTAATTTAAAAAAGAGAAAATCTCAAAAATATTAAACATTTAGTATACTATCACCCATGTTCTCTACATCAAAAAAGAAATTAAAACCATGAAACAATTTTAGAAAAAACATATTGATAGATTTTAAAACCTACTTTTAAATAAGCAATGGTAAAAAAGAATTATCATAAAATCTAGAAAATTAAATTAACTGAACTTGTGGGATATAGCTAAAAACAGTTTAAATAAATAAACCCTTGCCTTTAAATAAATATAATAGAAATGAAGAAATACAGTTATTAGGAAAAAGCAATATATTGAATAAAAATAATTAACAAGAAAGGAAATAATCAAGATGAGGACATAAATGAACATAATAGAAAACAAAGATAGAATTGAAAATATTAATAAATCTAATAGATGGTGTAAAACTAGTAGAATAAATAAATCTCTAGCAGATTTTAGCTAGAGAAAAGGACTTAATATACACATGGCTGACATTTTAGAATTCTTAAGCAAATCTTATGAACAAAAATACGACAATTGAGATTAAACAGGCAATTTCCTAGAAAAATATAACTTATAGAAATCTACACAATAATAGATAGAAAACTGAACTAGATCTATAACCCATAAAGAAAATGAATTTGAAGTTAAGTACCTGCTTTCTTTACACAAACGAAATCCAATGAGCTCTAACAACATTCTAAAGAACAAATACTTTCTATCTTATATCATTTGTTCACAGATTATAGGATAAAAGGAAAAGACCTCCTCCAACTTATTTTATAAGATTAGTATAATCTAGATACCAAAACTCAGAGAAGAAGAGTAAGATAAAGGAAAATCATTGAACAATCTCATTTATGAATATTAGTACAAAATTCTAAATAAACTATTAGCAAAATAAACCCAGCAATACACAAAACATTATTACCAAATTCTGGGGTTTTCCTAGAATACAAGAGTACAACATTAGAAAATTAAAGGAGAAAATAATGTCTTCATTTCAATAGATGCAGAAAATTAATTTTATGTAGTTCAAAACCCATTCCTAATGAAAATCCTTAGTAAACTATGACAAGAAGGAAACTTCCTTAATGTAATCACCTACCAAAAATCTACAATAAACATTATACTTACTGATAAAATATTGGAAGCATTCTTTCTTAAGTCAGTATTAAGATAAGGATATCTATGATCACAACTTCTATTTAACATTAATGTTGAAGTTTTAGCAATAAAAAAATATATGATGATTGAAAAAGAAGAAATCCTAACCAGCAATATTTCAAGATATGTTTATCTACAGATAAACTATTCGGTAAGCTAACTAAACTGAAGATAAACGAGTGGGAGAATTCAGCAAGCTTGCTAGGTATAAGAAAGACCAATGTACAAAACCTAATAGTTCTCCATAGCAGCAATAAATTAGTAAATGCAATTACAGACACCATTTTCTATAGCAATAAAAAGAAATAGCAATAGAATATAATGTGACAAAAATATGATAGATATTTATGAAAATTATAAAATTTAACAAAAGACATTGAACACGACCTAAATAAGTGAAGAGATATCTTCATGATGGAAAGGCTCAATAAAGTCAATAGTTCTCCTAAATTAATTTATAAATGAAATGCAATTCTAGTCCTGACTGAGAATTTTCCAAATTGATACTAAAATGATTAAGGTAGTATACAAAAGGCCAAGAATAGCAAAGGTAGCTTTATATAAGACTAATGATGGGGAAATGTGGGGCGTTGCATATTTAATTTATAAAGCTATGATGAGGGAACACAAGGTTCAAATTTTCAGGAATAAAACAAATAAGTCATGGGGATGTAATGTACAGCATGAGGACTATAGTCAATAATATTGTGATAGCATGGTACAGTGTCAGATGGTTGCTGGACTTATCACAGTGATCACTTATTTAGATATATAAATCTATATATCTATGTTGAATATCTATGGTGCACACCAGAAAGTAATATAATATTGTATGTTAGCTATATTTTAATAAAGATGTTAACAAAACTATGATGATAAAGACAGTAGAACTGGTGAGGGACAGATGAACAGACCAGTAGGAAAGACGATCAGTTCAGAAACAGATCCCATATTTGGTAACTTGGCACTTGACACAGGTCCCATTTCCAATCAACAGAGAAGACATGGACTATTCAATAACTAGTGCTGGTACAATTGGCTTCCTATAGAAAAAAAGAAAAATCATTTTTACCTTACTTTATTCACAAATTACAGACTTGTATGAAAAGCTGGAAAACTTAGAAGAAAATACAGCAGAATACTTTTACGACGTTAGGGTAGGGAAGCTGTTTTCCAGAAACAAAAAAAAACAAATGACAAATGACAGGCTTGATCATTTGATTAGATTAGTGTCAATCCTGTATCACAAAAGATATAGAGAAAGTAATGAGACAAGCCACAGAGAAGAATGTACCTGGAATCCCTGTGACAAAGGATTAATTCACGCTATATAAAGGAATCATATAAATGAATTAAATTAAGACAAACACCCCTATAGAAAAATGAGCAAAGGATGTGAACAGACAATTCCAGAAAGGAAATCAAGGTGGCCAATATGGAGATCTCAGCCATGGTAATAATCTGGGAAATAAAAACTAAACAGCAACACGTTTTCACTTATACCCTTCAGAAAGGCAAAATTTAGAAGTCTGATAAAAACTTACGAGATCGTGGGGAAATGGAAATTTCGATCCCTGATGGTGGGAGTATATATTGTTAGAATCCCAGAGGGACGTGAGGTGTGCCTGAGTTTGAAATTGTGCCTGCGATACTGACTGAGCAATTCCCAAAGGAGCTGTGAACCAGGATGTGCACTGCAGTCAGCCCTCTGTGTAACAGAGTTGTCCTTTCACCAGGCGTAACACCGGGCAGCGTTTACCCTGAAACACGTGATGTGTCTAAACTGCCAACCTCGCTCCCCATCCCCCATACACACTTACCGCCCCTTTGCTTCCTCAAATGTTCCCCTAAAGACTTACCATTACCGTAGTATTTTTTCATACATGTTATATTTCATATATATCATAGTATATATTTTACTTATCTTTTTTGTCTGTCTTACGAAGGTAGAGTTTTTATTGCTGTCCTTTTTTTCTTTTTTTTCCAGTCCTACCACCAATACTGCTTGGTTTATGGTAGGCATTCTATAACTATTTGTGGCAAAAATAAATGGGCAAAATCGCAAATACATAATACTGAATGAAAAAAAACAAGATGTAAATGGATATGGATATCATTCATGCAAATTTTTTTAAATGAATGAATTAATTTCTTTTGTTATTGTGAAATAAACATTTTTTAAAGTTAGTTTCAGCTGTACAACACAGTGCAACAGTTATACTTTTTACCCCTCAAAGTGACAACCCTCCTCCTCCAGTCCGCCGGCCCACTTCCTCCCCATATCATACATTATCTATTACAATTCCCTTGACTCCTCTCCCACACTATACTCCATGTCTTGTGACTATATATATAGTCCACTTATAGTTTGTGGGATCTAAAAAACAGAATGAACGAGCAAAGTAAACAGAAATAGTCTCAGAGATATAGAGGAACAACTGATGGTTGCTAGTTGGGAGGGGGGTGGGGATGAGGGAGAAGGGGAAGGGATTAGAAAGCATAAATAGGCAACTACAATATTGCCACAGGGACATGAAAGACAGTTCATGTAAATTTTAAAACACATAATAGTACAAAGTTTACGGCTACCTAATGGATATATAGTAAAAAAATTAAATAACATGCATGTTAACGTCAAGATAGTAGGTATCTCTAGAGAGTGTTTGGGGAGGTTTTGGTGTGGGGCTTTTTGGTGTCATATCAATAACATTTTATTTCTTAGAGAGATTGGTCCTGATATAAATTTGACAAAATGTTAATGTCCATTATCTTAGGTGTTTGAATATTTTATAATGTTTAAAGAGTTGCAAGTACATATAGAAAGAAGAGAAAGATTTTCAGGTTATGTCCTTATAGTACGGCTGTTCCTCTGGTTCTGATGCCAAGGCCACCTGAGTATATGGAACTCTTCATACTGACCCTGCTCTCCTTCAGGTCGCTGACACCGCCCTAGGCAATCATGCACAGGTGTTTCTGGTTCTGTTTATATTGGAAGATCTAATTCTGCTATGTTTTATTTAATCAGGGTTCTTTATTTTCCTGGGAGCAGAGGGCATCAGCTATTGGAAATGAACCATTCCCCACAGTCAGCCATGACATCACGTCCACTAAGCAGGCCCGGGAGCAGACAGAGGCATCTTGTTGATCAGATGATGGGTGTACACCAGGCGAAACCAGCTCTAAGGCTGGAGCAGACACAGACATTTATTACCACAGATATGTTTTTATTGCATTAAGAGGGAGCACTTTAGAAGGAAGACTCTAGGAGTAAAAGGATTAAGTCATTTTGAAACATTTTTCTTCTGTCAAGTGAGCAAATGAAACATCAGAGGGGCCATCTGAGACTGATTCACCCAGGCCTGTGGAATGGCAGCTTCCGAAGGTGAAGAAAAGTGCATATAGGCAGTTGCCAAGAAAAGCCTCTGTGTGTAGGAGTCAGAAACACCCTATCTAAGGGACATTTCTATGACCAGAGAACTCACTGCTCTGATACAAAGGAAGGCAACATATAAGGTACCATGATCTTTTTTATTATTAAAGATACAATTGAAAAAAAAGTGTTGATGTACTGTCTTCCTTGATAAATTGCTCTTACGAAGGGTAGACTATGTTACATAAAATGTCTACCATCTTCGCCACAATCCTGTAGTGGTCATTATTATCCTCATTGTGCAGAGAAGGCTGTGGAGCTCCAGGGAGGTTAAACAATGCTGGTAATGGAGGCGTGGGGTGGGGGAGGGGAGGACTCCAGGTGCCACAACCTTCAGCCCCTTCACCTCTCCCACTGCTTCTTCTCCTCCTCCTCCCTTTCCCTGCCCATCCTCTCCCTCCCTCCCCTCCCCCGCAACCCACGCACGAATTTGAGACTCCTTTTGATGACCAAGCACCTTTGGCTCACTTTCAGAACGTGCAATTGTGTGTGAAAGATTGTTGAATGTGCGCTGAACCGAGGATACGCTGTACAAACTGTTATTTCTATTTTTATATTTCTCTTTCCCAAGATTGCTCATTGGTTCTTTTTCGTATCTATCTTTTCTTGTTTCATGGCTTCCTACTTTGTTTCATGAAGTCTTGTTATTATTTTTGGTGGCCTTCAAAGAACTTAAACATGCTCATTTGAAATTCGTTTTGAGATGATTGCCCCTATTCCCGGCATTCACAGAGAGTAGGTTTCCCTGTTGATTATTGAGTTTCTGGGAACACTTCCTGAGAGCTACATTTCTCTCGTCCTTTAGAACTTTCTTTCGTAGCACCGTCTGGATTGGGAATTGTTTCTGAGTTCTCTCTTCCTGGTTTTGTGGTTGCCTCCACCTGCCCAGCTGACATGGCCCGTATTCCTGACTTGGGGCTCTGTTCCTTGGTGACATCTTCACCCAGGTGAAGTCTTCCCCAGCGGTGAGGATATTGTGATCCCAGCCATGCTCTGCCCTTCCTGCCTCCCGTCTCAGGAACCAGGCTCAGATTCCAACTGGGAAAAAGAAGCTTTGAACCCTGTTTTCCTCCGCGATTGAGCTCTGGCCTCTTCTGCCTGGAGCCCCACAGACCTGTGACATCAGCCTCACCACTGCACGTCTGTTCAATTTCTAGTCCTTAGATATGTTTATTTTGGTTCTAATTGTAGCCCTGTCTTTTTTATGTAAAGAAAAACCCATCTATAACTGCCATGTTTGGCAAGCAGGGGGAGATTCAAAGGGTGAACTCACAGTATTGCTTTGACCTGAAGCCCCAAAACTGCTATTAACTTTTTTTTTTTTTACTCTTTGAACAGGAAAGAATGTTTTGTTTAACTGCTTTTCCTGCCCTCTTTTACTTTTTTACACCTAAAAGTAGAATGCAGAACATTCTCCACTCCCTGTGGAAAGTCTCAATTTCTGAGGGTATTGGCAAGATGGTTTAGATTTTTTTCAGATTTTTATGGTAGCACATTCAGCTATAATGGGTGGAGTCTGGGCCCATTCCTGTATTAAGAGGACTAAAAATTGGAGGAAGGGAGGGAGGGGATGAGAGCTGCATTCCACGCCTTATCTTTAGCATTTACAAGAACCATATAAATGTATTCAAAATCCTGAAAGCAGGAAGAGAGTAGTAAAACCCATGTGTTCATAGGAAATTCCATGGCTATTTGCTTTGCAGTGTGTTCTGGAAAGAGTCAAGAGGTAAATAGCCAGAAAGGAGGTGACCTGGGGGGCCAGAGAGAAGCCGGTGGGACCCACTATAGCTCGCCCTGGGCCACCATGCCAGGTCGCCCCTCACGTGCTTCTCTGGGATCTCTGCGGATGAAGAGAGTGAGAAGGTTTGTGAGCAGGATGGGACGGTGGTCTGCTCCAGGCCTGACACCTACATCCTTGTGTCTGGGGTTTAAAGGGTCTCAGGGTTGAGGAGTTGGGGAGATTGTTTTCCTACTCAGCTGCTCTCCACTTTCCATAATAAAAGAGACAAATAGCAGAGTCTGCCCATGCAGGGCAGCAAGCCACATGGTGCAAGGGCCAAGAGCACAGACCTAGGAATTGTAAGAACTGGGTTAGCATAGTAGCCCTGCCACTTACTGCCTGTGTGACTTAGGCCACTCAGTCTCCTTAGGATCTCAGGCCCCTTGGCTAATAGTAAAATGAGACTCAGCACCTGACTTGTGTGAGGCTCTTGTGAAGATGAAAAGAAGGAATGCAGAGTAAGCACTTAGCACAAAATAAGTACTCAATACTGTGTAACTTATTTGCATTATTTTATCACCTGGGATCTTAAAGGCATTACATGCAAATTAGAAAGCCAACATTTTTGCTCCTGGGCCAAGTTCCAAGAACTAAACTACTCCTGCCTCACTCCCCACTCCAGCCACAACTGGGGCATGCTTTCAAATTAGTCTTATGATTCTAATTGCGTGTCTATGTCTCTTAAGGTTTATTGGGTCTTGATTTCTATTTCCGGTCTATCTGAAATGCTGCTGTTTTCACAAAAGTCAATTAAAGAACACTTCTCTCCAGGGACTCACATGCCCAGTGGGGAGGGTGGTGGAGAGGCCTCTGAGGCCCTGAGTTTAACCAATTCCCCACTCCATTGAAAAGAAGACCACACCAAAGGAACCACTAGTGACCACACGTATCTGTGCTGCTGAGACTGCCTATCCCACTCCTTCTACCTTTGAGGATTTATGTGGAAAACGGAAAATTGTTTTCCTCTTCACAAATTTCTGTGTGCCACTGTTTTTAATATGAGCCATGGTTATTGAGGAGAATCACACAATTACTTCAGTTATGACCCCTGCTGTTGTATAAGTGTGGGTGGGAATATTTGTGCATGTTTTCAAACAAATTTCATCTATACTTTTTGCACTCCAGGAATGTAAATATGATTAATCTTATTTTAATTGGTTGCATTTTTTCCATTAAATGATTATTGCGTCTCTGCATTGATTGCCTTTTTCCCTTTTTGACTCAATAAGCCACTTTCCCTAGTCAAACATAACATTTTAGAATAAATTTTTTTCCAGCTTGCTTGAAGAAGCTGATTTTCTAACTGTGCTATCTATGAGAGGATCTAGGGTTCCCAGGACCAGAGCAAGTGAAGAGTGACCAGAGAGATGAGTCCACCCTACCGCATTTTAATCCAACCAGCCCGAGTTTTGTATAATATATTGGACTTCTGGGTAAGATTTCACTTGAAGGAAGAATTCTTCTATTCCAAGACAGCTATTCCAATGCATTGCATGTGTGTTCACACCTCATGGATTGTTAATATATGAGTGTGATTAAAATGACATAACTATTTTAGTCAACCAGAACTCATACACTGATCATCCAGAACTCATGTCAATGGTTCCCCTTTGAAATTATCATATTAAGATGCTATAGACTTATGACTATGATGTTGCCATTGCTCAAAACATTTTTTTTTACAATTAAATTCCTGGGCTAATTGTATATTCCTTTGACTATTTTTATTACAGACTAAATCACTTGCATAAAATGGGGATAAAAATAATACTTTCTTCTGCTGTCCTGATGAACAAAGGAAATACTTGTAAATTTTAATTTGCAAAATGTAAAACACTAAACAAATTTTCTATTTTAAAACATTCTCTGAGGGTGGGTTTGCATTTTGAAATGGTCCAAAATCATTCTGAACTAAAACTGTCAAACATGGTGGATAATCAAGCAAGTACTATAGTAAGTGGTCCAAAGATAAGAACGAGTGTGGTGCAATGGAGTTGACATTCTTGGATTTAATGTCGATGCTAAAGGCAATTCCAGAAGGGAAGCTTTCAGGATTAAAATAATATTGAAGGGCAACACCTTTGAAAAGGCCTATTGGTGGATGTAACCTGCTTGTTAGCATTGTGGCACCACCTCAACGTTGTGGGGTATGGGGATTTGGAAAGTGCAGCTTGCATAAAGAAGTGAATGTCCTTAATCATTGTCTCCAGAGCCTGGCGAAGTGGCTGGCAGGAGGAAGGTAAGGAATGGATATTGGTTAAAAATGAAGCTTTTTCAGGGCTAACTATATACAGGGTCTGCCAACTAAGTTCTCAAACACATCCTAGAAAAAGTACTACATACCTACCTCATTGCTGAATATCACTATAGTCACCTTTAAAGTACTCGCCTTGGGAAGCTATGCACTAACACGAGTGCCTAGTCCACCCTTCAAAGCAATTTTGGAACTCTTTTTCTGGAATGGCCATCAGAGTTGTCGTCGTATTACCCTTGATGTCCTGAATGTCATCAGAATGTCTTCCTTTCAATATTTCCTTCATCTTTAGGTAAAGAAAGAAGGCATTGGGGGCCAGATCTGGTGAGTAGGGAGGGTGTTCCAATACAGTTATTTGTTTCCGGGCTAAAAACTCCCTCACAGATGGTACCGTGTGAGCTGGTGCATTGTCATGATGCAAGAGACATGAATTGTTGGTGAAAAGTTCAGGTCGTCTAACCTTTTCACGCAGCCTTTTCAGCACTTCCAAATAGTCAACTTCGGTAACTGTTTATCTAGTTGGTACAAATTCATAATGAATAATCCCTCTGATATCAAAAAAAGGTGAGCAACATTGTTGCAACAAGTTCGTAAACTTAATTGTCAGAACTCGTATGTATTTATAAAAATATTGATTCCTAAAAGATTGATTTTATGAATAGTAAACTAGATTTGAAACTTTGAATTTTCCTTATATCTTTGTTCTTTGCCTTGGATGTTCAGACAACCCAGAGAAACTAAATATCTCACCCATAGTTGCACAGCAAGCAGATGGCAAGGCGAGGACCAAATCTGGGGCTACTGACTCCCAACACAGTGCTCCCTGTATCCTACATTGTTGCCAAGTACACCAGCTGGCTTTGTGGACATAAGACCTGGGTATTCACACAGGATCCCCTGCTTGGTTGAATGATCTGTTGATGCTGTCTTGAAATTCTTAATAATTTTTGGACAAAGGACCCCATGTTTTAGT